GAATATATATTATTATCTAATTCATTAGTTCCAAACGCTTTGCAAAGCATACGTTTTCATCAAAGCTGTGACTTTGACATATAGTTTCCTCTTAATGAAGAGCTCCATTGTGTCAGAAGTCAGAAATAGTGCCATTTGCCGTTGCTGCTACGCTTGTATATATAATTATATACATGTATTATTCACTCTCTTTGGGAACCTCTCAAAAACAAGACAGTAGTGTTTTTAAAATAGACATCACTCTCTCTCTCTCTCTCTCTCTCTCTCTGTATATATATATATATATGTATATTAAAAGGGAGGCTAAAGAATCTTACTGTTCATTCACATCACTTTGCCCGCCAAACAGCCGCATAAGTGGCTTTCATGTTGGACTTCGTGTCTTTTCTTTTGTTTCTTTAATCTGTTTTTGTTTTCATACACAGCTCACTTTTGGCTTTTGGGATAAACACTAGCGATTTCTGCCATTATGATTATTTTAATTACACATCGAGAAAAGAATATATCTTTTGAGGTTTGCACGATAAACAATTTAACTATGCATGTTAGGAGTGTTATTGTCTAGCTTATTATGGATTTTAGATGTGTGCTACTTTAATTATTTTTACATTTAGTTGTTTTAACTAAAACTGAGTACTGAACTATTCATTATATTCATATGGTAAAGTAGATATATGTTCTTTTCGAAATTTAAATGGAGATAAAAGTAGAAACACTTAAAGTTCTTTTTTGTGTGTATAAAGTTCTTTGATTGATGCTATACCTTTATTTTGCCAAAAATTTATGTTGATGTATTCAAAGGAATAAATAAATTTTAAATATTTGATGTATATCTGATAGTATATAGATCAACCATTTACAAACTACTCGTTCATTATTTATAAATGAACAATGTGAAGCGGCAGAAAAAGAAACTAATTCCCTGCGAACCGGACACACTCTGGTTATCGCAAAAGGGACTGAAATTGTAAAGAAAAACCAGTAAAGAATGCAAAAGCGCGGGGCACTAAAAGCCTGCAGGAAAAATGGCATTTCTTTTGTTGGAAAATATTTATTTTTCCTTTTTTAAAAAAATTAATAATATTGAATCCAAAAAATTATATTAAAAATATTAATTTCAATAGCTGATAAAAATCACGAGATTTTGATTTAAAGTTTTCATTTTCTAACCTTCTGAATTGAATATTTTGATTTTTTAGCGACATGAATATTTTTAGTTATGAAAATATTGGATAATTAAGAATGCAATTTTTTTTCAAGACTTAAAATAACGAACTGGCACTAGGGTGGCTTCAATCATTCAACCACTTTCTTTCGTGATTATAGAAGCACACAAGAGCTCAAGTAGTAAAGTGTAACAAAAGCATCACTTGGCCATAATGACTATAATAGTGACTACTTACCCAAAAACCCGAGCCTCGTTCTGTGCCAAAATTCCGATCTAGTTTTCTGTGTCCAATCTTTATATTAAAACTAAGGTTGGTTACTCATGACATGCACGTACCCCTTTTTCTTTAAATTCATTTTACTTTCATCGATCCTCATGGGAATATTTACTTTCCCCTTTTTACTCAGATTTGATTTAAAGGCTTTGTAACCATGTCGTCATGTCACCTTTAGTTTTTGAACCAAAATTGTACTATAACATTCACTAAAGCTGTTGTATATATAAAGTTAATAACTTGTCCCCTCTCACCTGGGAATTGATCAAAGTGAGATGATTCCTCTTTCTCTTTTACCAATTCCTTGTTTGGATATAATATTTGAAATTCACTACTCCTTTACTAGGTCCTAAGGGATCAACCAAATAACTATTCAGCGTTATACGTACACACACATAAAAGTTCATATGGGTTGGATTTTGCAGCACATGTCAAGACCGTAATACATTTTATGACTACAACAAGTGCTTATAAAATCAGATCAAGCGGCGGCATTCAACATTCTAATGTTATTTTTCATATGTATCTAACACACTAATTTTATTTATGATGTTTTTAGCACCTTCATGCCTAATATTATTTATAATGCATATGGCACTCTAAATCGTAAATTCAATAATATCATGGAACATCAGATGGTGTTGGTGTTCGCACCGCAAGTGCATAGATCGTGACAAGTAATAAAATGATGAGTAAAGTATTATTTCCATAAGGTTTTGGTTTCAAAACCCGGTCAAATATTAATTATCATACTTTCGCTTAATTTGAGTAATACAAATATCAAGAGTGAAAGCAACTATTTATAAAATTAGAAATTAATAAAAAAAAAAGTGATTCTTCAATTCCAAAGATTCAAAGGGACCTAGGATTATTTATCCCTCTTATATTTCAAAGGTACTCAATTAAATCCCCATTGTATTTGCTTCTTAATTATAGATTATGCTAGCTAAGGAAACTAAATTACCTATAAGTGCTCTTTCAACTCTTCCAACAAGTGTTCAACTCAATTAATTCCTTAATCTCTTAGTTAATTAATTATACCGTTAATAAGTATATCTCTGTCTTATTAACAAAACCATCCATTCAACTTGCAAACTTCAAGTTCTCACACAATTTTACTCAAGTTCTACACTCAACCTAACCCTCTCAAGCATTAATAAAGTGAACTCAATAATCTCATTGGTGGCCAATCCACAAGAAGCATCAAGCATAGAGCAAAATCAACATATATAGGGAAAATGAGTATTTAATCTATACAAGAGTTCAAAACAATCCTAGAATCAAAGTATTTAGCCACATCATACACTCAAAAAATCCATATAAGAATATATATCTATGTCAGGACAAAATGGAACAAGAGTAGAGAAAGCAAAATGGAGAGGAAAAACCAAGGAAATAAGCCCAAATCTCTTCAAAACTCCAACTCCTCTAAGAAGCAAGCCCTAGAATAGCCTAATGCTCCAAAGAACCACCCAGAACCGAAGAATGGCGACCAAGGTCGAGTTGAGACCTTAAAACCTAGAATTTTCTGACTCAGTACTGCTGTGAGTTTTACTATTAGTGACTTTGTTGCAGCCCAAAATTTTGCTTTGCAGCCTAGTTTGCCTCTATTTAAGTTGGGCTACGGTCAGGACAGAGTGCACTGTAGCTCAATTTGCCTCTGAAAAATTTTGTTCTTCTAACTCAATTGAGGAGTTTTACCCATAATTTGGAGTCTATTTATTCTTCTTTAATCACCATAGTGTGATTCTAAAGCAACCTTGATTCTCAAATACTTCCAAAAGCTTTCGAAGTGGCTTGACATAATTAATCTTAATGCCAAAATATACCTTGCGAAAGTAACAAACTTTATAAGCTCAAAAATAACAAGGATAAAAGTCAAAAGATAAACAAATACATCTAAAAGTGCATAAAACTAAAGAAAAAAGTGCTAAAATGGCATCAAATTCTAGTGATTAACATTTGGATATATCATAAATAAGATTATAGTATTGGATATATACATATGAAAAATAACATCAAGGTTACGATGCTGAATGCTATTTACCTTGTAAAAGCTCTTACAAATTATCAACGAAATGAAAGTGTCATATTATGCTCAGATACAAATATTTGATCAGATGATTCGAACTTACACTCTAGCGGATGGCTTCTCTCATTTTAACCAACTAGATGGATATAATATTTGTTGATAGATTCGGATGCTTTTAATACTGATTAAATGATAATAAGGTATCTTGTCTCGCTCAATTAATAACATGCAAAACAAATCTCGCATTGAAGGTTGCATGCACAACATGGTAATCTGTGCTTGTCCACACAAGAGAATACAAACAATGGAATGCAGCATTAAACAACTAAAACAAGGTTCACGTGAAAGCTTTTAGGGAATACATTAACCACAAATATACAGATGACACTAAATTATCATTAAAATCTATGTGGAAAATTAAAACAACACATCAATTGTGCTATATATAAAGGTAATAAAATTATTACAGTCTCTTCCCAATCAGGAAAAAAAATTAACCGCAGCTTCAGTATTATTTGAGCGAGCTTGCATGAAACGTGTAAAGAAAGTACGTGGGGGGTGTTCATAACATAACTGAGAAACAAACCGTGACTTTAATGGAAGGGGTCCGTATATTGTCTATGTATGGATTAATCCCAAACCCCACGTGTAATCTTATATATATAAAAATATGTCAGATTCGTGTAACTTTGTTTTCTACATTTATTTCCTCCACTTACCTAACAGTTAAGTCGTTATGACCCCATTTTCAATGATCATGTTCCCTCTCCTACCCCTATACTTAGCTTAATTCTTTTCATAATATTCCATTTCATCCTTTCTAAATTCAAACCTCTTTAAGTTTTTCAACTAATAAAAGTATCAATTGCAAGCACCATGCAAGGGAAACACACACACGCACACGTATTTTAATTCACAAATAATTTTATTTTTCAAAATTATAATTTAAGATTGTAGGAAAAGAATTCGACGAAATCCGTTGAATATAGTTGGGAGGATGGAAAAAGTCTCCGGGGGTGAAGTGATGACTGACTGATGATGATGAAACGCCAAACACTCGTGGGCTTCGTGGCAATCATGTAGCAAGGTGATATGGGGCTTTGATGAAGGGTATATTAGTAATTACGCAGTTGGTTTACGGAAGACCAGTTCTTTCCCGAACGGAATTCCAATCCCTAAAATAGGATTCTTTCGATTCCGCTTCTATTAATCAGCGTCACTTGTGGTGTAATCCCTTCGCAAATCGTTTTCCGTTTGAAATTTCTCCCGTAAGCGCCCGAGTCACTAAACCGTTTGTTTGCACATGTGGCAATCGTCCATTGGTCTACGGTTCGGCGCAGCTCTCAATTACCCGATCTGCATAACGGCGCCGTCAATTTGCCCGTTTTCAGATTCCCCCGTCACTGTTAACGGATCCAGGACCACTACCCCTCACCAGCCACACCACTATTACCCTATCTCAACCGTTGAAATGTTTCGTCATGATCACAATTTCTTCGTGCCACTTACACGCGCCCACAAATATACGCCTCCTCTCTCTCTCTCTTCTTACAGTGACAAAATCAGAAGAGCGCACTGCACCTGAATCTTGAAGGGAGAGATGGTGAGCAAGTGCAGAAGAATTGCAGAGGTTGTTGCAGTAATGGAAATGGCTCAGGTTGGCGTCACGACAAGAGCTCGAGCAGCGTTGGCCATGGGAGGAGCTGCTGCAGCAGCTTCAGCCGAAAGAAAACCCAAGAGACGGAGGATCAACAACGAAGAACTCAAATTCTCAGCATCTTCATCTCTCGTTCAGATTAAGGGAATAAGGCGGCCTGATGTCATTCGACCGGAGGCGCAGGAACGATGCTCTAGTCCTCCCTCCGATGAACTCCCCTCCTCATGTTGTTCCAGCAATGGATCCATCGGACTTGATGAAGAGAGAATCGAATTCGTAGATCTGGAGGTATAATTGTGTTCACAAATTTCGTAAAAAATTCGTATACATCGCGGAACCTGAAATCAAATATATTAATTGTCTCTCGGAGAGCTTTGGTTAAGTTTGATCTCTTTGAATATTCCTCGTCATCGTGTTTTATATTCTTATTTTTTTTCCCCACTGAATTTAAGGCTTTGTGTTGAACATGCTTACAGGTAGATAGCGCGCAAGTTGAAACATCGACGTGTAACTGCGGTGACGAAAGGTTATAACTCCCCCTCTCTTTTCAAATTTTCAAAAAACGGAATCAGCATTTGAGTTCGAAAAAAGTATGAAATAAATGATCCGTCATAATTTCTTCCCTTTAAAATCCCAAGTAATTCAAAAGCACACAAACTCTTGCTCTCTTGCGGATACTTTCTTAAATTCTGAACTGTGTTGGCCCTTGTCGCGCTGTAGAGAGATGAGGCCAAATTCAGAAGAAGCGAGACCAACGGAGGCCAACAGTCGTTGTATATCAACAGTGCAAAAGATGCCGACGGAGCAAGAGCTCGAAGAATTCTTTGCTGCTGCGGAGAGTGACATTCAGAAACGCTTCGCAGAGAAGTAAGCAAATCTTAATTAAGGCCTACCGAATTATATCCAACTCCTTTTGATGTGAAAATTGGCATGTATCGCCTATTTTCTGATACCACCTTCCAATTTCTGGGTAACCAAGCGCTGCGGGTAATTATCTGCAGATATAGTTACGACATCGTGAAGGACGTGCCGTTGGAAGGACGTTACGAGTGGGTTCAAATAAAGCCATGAACCCCCCTTTCCTCCCAAGCCAATCTGCTTCAAGAATTAAAGAAGAAAACGACCTGAACATGCGTTCCGGTCATTGGGATTATCGGTGGGTTTAGCTAAGGTAATTCAATTCTCTTGCATTCTCTTTATGCAGGAGTCTTTTGTATGATGTATAGCATTCTTTATCGTTCACGAAAGGGAGAAATTAGCAGCGTTTGTTCTTTGTACGGGTTAATCCTACCGAGAAGCCAGTGGATAAATATGTATGTTAATTACTAAGTTGTTGAACAAACGGCTCAAATAACGTAAATTTAGTGGCACCCGAAATTTCGCGTTTGTTTCTCTGTTGTTATTTTGCAGGGTCCTTTTGAGTTTTACTTCTACCTGGACTGTGCCTGGGTACAGGCAGCGCCAGTGTCTGTATCTTCTTTTATTTCTTCTGCTTTCCCTTCTTTTTTTTTTTTTTGGGGGCATTGGTTATTATTGCATGACGTTAATTGCCTTTCTCATCCATGTCCTTCTCTTCCCTTTACGCTATGTTTGGCTCGACGGAGGGAAGGGGAGGGGAGGGATTTTAATCAAAGGAAGGGGAGGGGAGGAAAGGGGAGGGTAACTACAAAGGGAAGGGGAGGGAGGGGGAGGGGAGGGGAGGGGAGGGATTTCAATGATCTCCTGTTTGGATTGATTGGAGGGGAAGGGAGGAAGCAATTTTAATAATACCTTATTTTGTTCTAATAAAAAATTGACTACTTTAGCCTCATAAAATTTAAATTAATTTTCTCACTTTTTATTTTGTTAAGATATAACTATATATATAATACAATTCACTAATTTTGATTTACAAGATACAGTCACACACTTATAGAATATCAAGACAAAAACTCACAAGTGATAGATTTCAATAAGAGAAAAGACCTTGAAGGTGAAAGAAAATACCAACGGCCTCTTAGAATTAGAAGAAGAGAAAAAAGTTTACAAATGCTTATTAATTTTGGAGATAATTATCTTAATAACCTCTTATTAGATGCTCGAAAAAACTCTCTTATGTAGAAATGTTTATGACTGATTAGAAGTTAACAAATCAAAAGGGCATATAAGGAATTAAAATATCATCTCTCGTCTCCCCTCCAAAAAACCCCACTTTTGGAGGGGAGGCTAGAAGGGAAGGGGAGGGGAGAAAAACCCCTCCCCTCTTTAAAAAACATCTTAACCAAACGAGGGGAGGGGAGGAGCTCCCCTTCCCTTGTAAAAAATTATACCAGCCAAACAAGGGGAGGGGAGCAACTTCCCTCCCCTCCCTTCCGAAAACCCCGTACCAAACATAGCGTTAGGGTGTGTTTGGTTGGAGGGGAGGGGAGGGGAGGGAAAATGAGCCCCTCCCCTCATTTGGTTGAAAATTTTGGAGGGGAGAGGAGCTAAAATGTCCCCTCCCCTCCCCTCCCTCCCCCCATTTTGGCTCCCCTCCAAATTGGGGGTTTTTGAAGGGGAGCCAAAATTTTGGACCATTATACCCTTATGGTTTTTTTAATATTCCACTTCTACCCATAAAATATATTATTATAATATTTATTTCAAATAAAAATATATTATCCTAAGTAAAAAAAATAAAAAATATATACATTATTATAATTAAAAATATATTATAAAAATTATTTAAAAATAAAAAATTATTTAAATAAAAATTATAATATTATAAAATTAATTGTTTTTTAAATATATTATTTATTAAATATATTTTAAAGCTGGAAAAAAAGATAGCCTAAAGAAAATAAATTTCATTTTTCTTAGAGTATATAAAATTTGTTAATTTAATTATTTTAAATATATTATTATATTAATTAGAATAAAAAATTACTATACCAATTTTTTAATACACATATTAATATGATAAGACTGAATTTTTATTAAATTATATAATTTAAATTAAGATGTAAATTAATTTATATAATATATCAATAAAAAACATAAACTAATATGTAAGGATAAAATGGTAAATTGATTATTACTATCCCTCCCATCCCCTCCCCTCCTTGAACCAAACAAGGGATCATTAAATACCCTCCCCTCCCCTCCTTTTTAATCAAACCAAACAAGGTAAGGATGAAACCTCCCCTCCCCCTCCCTACCCCTCCCTCCCCTTCCCTCCCCTCAAACCAAACAGGCCCTTAAATTCTGAAATGACTTTTCCTTATTTCAAGTTTTAACTGTAGAAAATCTGTTCCTTTTCTTCCGAACTTTTATGATGATCTGGGTATACGTCGATTGTGAAATTTGGATGAGAGGTATAATGACGGAGGACGAGGAAGTGTCGGTCACATTTAGTATTCAATAGAAGATTATTTATGCTCGATTAAAAAAAAAAGAAAAAAGAGCAGCTGTGGTTTTTTTAAATTTTTTTTTGACATATTTATATTTATGTTAAAAAATAGTATTCTCGACCTTTTTAATTTTGAAATATTTAAATTATGCTTCTTCTTTTTAAAGAAAAGAAGCTCTCATGTACCATCGGAGGGGTCGGTGGAGTACCATAGCGTGCAAGCCACGGACTCGGGTTAGATGGGTGAAGAAGCTGATGTGAGCTTAGCATCCATGTGAGACGGGTTTTGCAGCATTCATTTAAACCTAATCCAATATCCTTTGCCCAAGGACAGCAAAATTTTTACTCCCATAACTGTTAACAGTCTTTGTTTTTTCCAGAAAAACAAAAACTAAACTTGCAGAAATTTTCAAATTGTGTGGAACTGCTCTTATGTATCAAAATTTTGTGCTTGATTAATAAATCATACTACTCATAATTAAACCATAATCAATTATATGACCCATCCCTCAACTTATAGAACATGGAAGACACTAGTTAAATGGAAAAGTAATAGGACAGTAATAATGTAAGGATGTTTAAACATGTGTGATGGAGAAATAATGTAGCGGCCAACACAAGCATTTTTTTTTTATTTGGTTCAATTAATAATAACCTTTTTTTAAACTTAAATAAGAATAAGAATTTTGTTCATGTATCTCACAAAAGTGAGCTTACATTTTATTATTCATGGCAGGCTTTAATCAATGGATAATATATAATCAAGAGCGTGTGTGACTCGTTATTCGCTTGTCTTGTTCGTCGTGTTTTATGCTCAAGCTTAAAAATATGAGAATGAATTAAAGAAACGAGAATAAATGTTGTATTTCTTAAAATGTGCTTATTAATCAAGTGTATTGATTAGAATTATCATTATTACAAGAACTACTTTGAAGAAAAAAGAATAAATATATCATAAGTAAAGTGGATTGGAATCTTATATTTAGAATCAAAATAAAAGTCAACGAGCTCTTATATTAAGGACCGAAAATAGTATATACACCGATATGAACATCTTTTTCCGTGGCACATCACAGGTGAATGATGCCAAATTTCAGAGAGGGAATATTAGACTAGGGAAAAAAATTTTGTGGCGTTTCTCTACCAAAGGCTGCAACACGTACACATCTATCCATATAAAATAACCGAGATTCGCATGCACGCACAGGCAGTGCTTAATTTTCAATTTGAACATTTCAGCCCCCCAAACCAATTATCATGATGTAGTGATCAAAATGGGGTGACCAAAATGGGCATAATGAAATTAATTAATTATACTATTGGGGGAGGGGATAATAAAAAACAAGTAGAAAACATAGGATCCTATATAGATTTGGTTTAATTTAATGAATAATAATAAGTACGAATGAGATTGAAAGTCGAAACTGAAGAGAAGAATGGGGTGGTGGTAGGACCAGAACAGTAAAAGCAAATGTTAAAAATGGTAATCGTACCTAAAACCAAAACCCACGTACAAGTGCGTCCACCATGCCATATAAGTGAAGAAAATAAAAAAGCAAATCAAACTTCAACTAATATACTCTGTATCATTAATGACAGATCGGTGCCACTTTGATTTTGTGGGGAAGATAATATTAGCTTGAAGTGATACACCTTTTTAGAGAGGAATTAAGTGCTGCCATTTTTGATCACATGCTTTCTTTTTCTTTTCAGAAAATGTTATACTAAACAAACATCTCTGAACTTGGTAGTTAGTACGTACCTCCTGCTCACAAATATAACATTAATTTAATGTGGCCCAAAGTACTATATAGACTTTATAATGGTTAATTCTATCCCATATTTTAGAATTTGCAGTTTAGGAATAAAGACAGTTCTGAAATTATATGGCTACATATTTTTTTTCTGAATTAATTAAATGGTATTTGTCTTCTTTGAACCGTGAGGCCGGTCATCGTTGTTTTCCCCTGCGAATGGATAAATCAATTTCCGACTTGGAAACGGAAAGATATATGGGGTTTTCCTATAAAGGAGCCAATATTTCGGATAGCCAGAATAATTGCTTTTTAGAGGGGTCAAGTAATTATGATTTGGTGTTGTTTGAACAGCTGAGAGCTAGTTACGTGAACAGACCTCTGGTGTTATGTCATTTCGACGAGACATTAAGAATGGACGTGCGCTTCCCACAGTCCATTCATAAACGGCGTCGTTTGAAAATGGGTTAGATCAATTATGAACAGCGGTTGACAAATGCTTTGTTTATCAAAATTTCCACTTGCCTCCTTTTTACTTTTCTTTCTCAAATTTCTTCATAATTCCATCTCATCCCTTCTTGACCCTGCTGTCTTTCTTTCTGGGGATATATATTTTAGAATATGGACAGATATAAAACTATGGATTATTTTCCCTCCTGCCGCACCATTTGATGCAGAAGACTCAGATCAGCATCAGATGATTAATCAGAAACCATTTTCTTTTGGATTCTGGGGCCTGCCGTACAATTTTGACGGTGCTTATCTGTTTCCATTTTATCATACAAAAATATCCAATTGGGTTACACTAGATCTTACCGTACCGTTCCATGGCAAATCCAGACATCAATTCATCGGCCTGAGATTGAACACCACAGCCGGCAAGTAGCCATGATTGACTTCAATCATGCGTATGACATAAATTAATTAGCCGCACAAGAAATTTTGGGGATATTAATCATAATATGGGCAAGTGATTATGATATCAAAGAAGCCAATCATAGGAGTTTCAAACAGGCAATTTTACTCCTATGATTTTTTTTTTTTTGGGTGCAATCATGCGCATATGTTTGGCAATGGATGAGATTTTACCAAAATAAAAATACCATGAGTAAATTAAAATTGTACAAAAACATAAGAATTATGGATAAAATTGTACCATTTAAAAAGTGGGGATTTGATTGCATCTTATAAATAAGATTAAGGTTAAAATTGCACTTTTATTCATTTTCAAGCCTAAGTTTTTTTTTTGGCCCGGGGGGGGGGGGAGGGAAACCCGAGGCT